GAGCAAAAATAACATAGTATAACAGCTTTTGTGTAAACCAACTTAATCTTTTTGGGCTAAATAAAATACATCATAACGTTCGCATAATCACAAATGCTATTCTAATTAAGCTGATTAACTTTTTGTGAATATTATTTAGACTAAAACCGAAAAAGTTAGTTTAGTAAATTACAAATTAATCTACAGCAAAACAAAGGAATCCGTAATTGTCCTTTGAGATTAACCCTTGAAATTTTTAACTAAGTAATTTCGCTTGAAAGTAAACAATCTTAAGCTCGGTTTCTTATGCAAAATAGACAGATGAATAGATATCAGTTCCTCCTAAACAATAACTGTACTCGTATTATCGAAACCAAACTTATAAATATAACTTTTTCCTGTACAAGCTTCAATGTAAAAACCAATTCGTGCCAAACGACTTTAGAAAAAAAGCTTAGAATAGTTAGAAGTGCAGAAATGAGGAGGACGACAAAAAGTGGATATGTCTGCCCTCATGTGAACTGAGCCAGAAATTGCGACCGCTGCTAATAAAATGGAATATCAAGGTGATAACAAAAGTAAAGAGAACACTGTAGATACAAAGAAAAACTTGGTTTTGATTAAACTCCTGAGATAACATTGTTAGGGGACCTTCATTTCGTTTGAAAGTGCATGAAGAAGGGATTCGTTGGTCGATCTTACCAGATGAGGACGGATGAAACTTGTACTGCAGCCGGTTGGATTTTATACGATATTCATGTTGACGCAGTCCACGGGACTTCCTACCCCGTTTCGGGTGAAAACGTGCTGAATATCTTATAGAATCCAACCGGCTGCAATACGAGTTTCATCCGTCCTCATCTGGTGAGATCGACCAACGAATCCCTTCTTCTTGCACTTTCATACGAAATGAAGGTCCCCTAACAAAAGGCAACACTCTTCACAAGCCTGCCGATGCAACACGAGAGGGTTGACAAACTGGATTGCTTGGGAGTCTATAGCATCAAATGCGGCAACTGTGAGCAGTAGTATATTGGTGAAACAAGAAGAAAAATCAACCTACGAATCAAAGAATACAAAAGCCTCTGCAGAAACATGGACACAGAAAGATCCGAAGTAGAGAAACACATCGCACGAACGGGAAACGAAATCGAGATAAAGACTGGTTGCATATGGTGGGAATACAGAAAAACGCAGGATACGAGAAGCCATTGATATCCTGACTGAAAGAAATATGATGAACAGGAGACTTGAAGAAGACAGGATTAGCGAAAACTTTGCATACTGTATAAGCAAACTCGGAGATCAGGGAACAGGAATATCAGCAAAACAATGGAAAAATTTTTAATTTTAGAAAAGAAGTTACAAATACCAGAGAAGAACAATCGAAATCAAATATATGTCTACAGTGAGTCCATTCAAATCAATAAAATTATCACATTTGGGAGTCGGCTCACAATAGGTCACTGACTTTGAATTAGGGATAGAAGATCGAGAGAAACGGTGATCACTTTTAGTTAGCTATTAGTAGATAAGTGTGCTCATAGACGTGGTCCATGAAGTAAAGGCTTGACCACGAGATTTACTCGGTGCACATGGAGCACAGCAATAAAGGAATCTGCAGCGCCAGTTTGGGTTGCTATGCCAATTAAGAATCCAGACTTTGGGGGCTTGCTCAATGAGGCTGGTGTATACATGCTATCAAAGGCAGTGTAGAACATAACGCCTTGAGTAGCGCGGATACGGTGGCAACGATGGCGTGAAATCCCTAAAAAGACAGATATGGAAGGATTCTACGGAGCAAGAGAGGAATTATGATAGGACCGGAAAGGAGAGGATTGCGGATTAAACGGTAGGCTCGGATCAACATTACCGACACAGTTGGAAGGATGTGGAAACCAGGGGGAGTGTGAATAAGTTTCAAATAGGTTTAGATAAACAAGTAAGAAATTGTAATAATGAAAGTGATACAAGTATATAGGATAGGAAAATAGCCCAGGACAGAAGAGATACCACAACACACACAATTGGTCAAAAGATCGATTTCACGTGTCTCTTTGACGAGTTGTAGTGTGGTGCTGAGAATTACAAGGCTCACTGACGATGCCGAATACGAAGCTGGCGGAATGTCTAGGAATTTAGCAAGTCCACGGCCCGGCTCTGGAAACTAACGTGCACACTATGGACTTTTGACAATGTACGTTCCTTTAGATCTTCTTGCCAATATGATCAAGTTGCGAAAACAAGGTCAAAAAAGTAAATAACTTAATGCTAAACGCAAAATAAATAAAGGTTGCCCAAATAAATACATCTGTTTGACATGCCTTTAGAGAGGAGATGGCGATATATAAGTTCATAGAGTTCATCTTGGTCCCATGTGATACGCGTTTTGGCAACAATTTCAGCCCTCCGAGCGCGTT